AAAATACAAAAAGTTTTTGGATGTCCTGTTCTATACAATTTTTGATATTTTTTTAGAAAAGCCATACCATTTTTCAGATTTGCCAGGATTAATTTTTTTTTATTCTGCCGCTTTTCGCAAAATAAGTACTTTTCTTTCAACTTTTTTCAATGAAAAACTTTTTCATTTCTATAATAAAATCAATTTAAGTTTATTTACTTAACTATTGTTCTATGATATTGTACACTTAATATAATTTCTAACCTAGTAAAAACAAAGTTTTTATAAGAAAATATATATAAACGATTGGGAAAAAATTAGTAAAATAAATTTAGAAAAAAAAATGAATTTTTTTATGGGTAGCAATTTTTGCTCTCATTTGATTACACTATTTATTACCTGGAATTTTTTTATTTTTAAATTAGATACGGTTTAAACAATATTTATCTCATTTAAAACCTAGAAAAATAATACGTTTGTTTTAAATGAAAATCACTGAGCATTTAATTAAGTTAAGTAGCTGAATATTAAATTACACTATATTTTAACCGCATGATATTTGGTAATTTAATATTAATAAAAATATAGGATGAATTACATTTTTAGTTTTATAGTAAACTTTTATTAAGATAAAATACACTCACAGGCAAAATAATCGATCCACACAAATTTTCGATGAATTTTAATCGCGAATAACTTTTTTATTTGATGTCGGATTTAAACCAATATTAAAGAATATTGTAGAAAAATTAATGGACAATCGCTCACATTTTAAAAAATTACTAAAAAATAGACGTACGTTTATAATATACAGGTTTAAACAAAAAGATGTTTTTTACCATAAGTTTAAGACCGAGGGGTAAACCGCTGAGGTAATTTGGTGTACATGCTTAAGGTAATACTAAGGAAATACGGGGTAGTACAGGGTAATATACAGAAAATACTGGGTAATATGTTATAATGCAGGCAATACAGGGGTAATACGGGAAATACTAAGGTAATACAAAGGAAATACTGAGGTAATACGGGGGAAATACAGAGGTGAGACAAGGGTAATACTGAGTAAATACAAACTAAACGTATAGATAGCGTATATTAAACGAGATATTAAACGAAGACACCGAAAACAAACAACCAACAGTCAATTCGTCACCCTAATATAACAAGGTTGTATGTTAAAAAACCGAAAAATTTGAGTTTATGCTTCTACAAGGTTTTATGCAATCCACCCTTGACATACAACTTGAAAATAACTCTCTATATATATATGTATACATAGAATATACATTATATAAAATTATTTTTAAGTGGTATGTGAAGCGTAGGGCACGTATAATCCTGTAGAAACATAGACTTAAATTTTTCGTTTTTTTAACATACAACCTTGTTATACTAATAATAATTATCAAGTCAATTATTGAAACTCCTGAACTAACATGTGAAACAAAGTTTGATGACTCCAGCAAAAGTGCAGGTTTCAGTAAAAAATCCGAGCAAAAATCGAAATTGGCAATGGAAAAATATTATAGAAAATATTAATGCAAATCAAACCCTAATAACTCAATATTTAGTAATTACAGGAAAAATATTAGAAAATTCAGAATTCGCACAAAGCATTATTAAAAATTTAGAAAATTCTGACGAAGGTAAACAAGACATGACTTATTTTTTTTTTAACTTAAAAATTTCCTTGGAAAATACAAGCGGGCCAAAAAACAAAAATAGGTATGACGAGGCCCTGAAAAAATTTTCAGTATAGGTACCTATATTTTTATGTTGGTGGAAGATTGCTTAAATATATGAGACCTTACAAGCTAATCTAAAAAACTGTTTGCCCTCTACATCTAAATTAAATAGGTTTATCCATAATAAAAATGTTCAAAGAGAAGAAGGAATCATTATTTCAGTGACCTGTCTAATTTTTTAGAAAAAAAAAATGAAAATGATATGGGTGTCAAAAGACGTTACTTGAATAACAGGAAAAGTGGAACAAAATACTTGGATTTTTTTCACCCGATCTGCATTTAAAGGACTATTCTAAAAAAGTTTAAGCAATAAACCGAAATTCTCCTTTTGTACAAATTAAACTTAAGGACAGAAACATTATTGTCAAAAAGTCGTCATTTTGTTGGCTTCTTGGCGAAAATAACGGCAAGGTGAGCACAGACCGTTTAAAAAGATTTATTGTAAGAAAAAGTGAAAATAAAAAAATCTCGAAAAGAACAGAAAAGAAGAAATCCTCCAAAAGAATTTTAAATAAAAGAACAGAAAAACAGATCAAGTCTCGTCCTCAACATCTACTACTGATGATGAGCAGGTCGAATTGGATGACTGAACCGACACTGAAAAAGTTAGTTCTGAATTCAGATTCGGAACCTCAACCGAAAATTTCTAAGGTCGAAACCCTGAAAGTTAATTTAGAAAGCTACTTTGCTCTGTTCTGTGTTGAAAAATGGTATCTTGGCCGCATAATCGAAAAATGCGACAATGATAATTTTAAAATGATGTTCTTAAAGACTGAATTGGACCATTATGTTTGGCCACGGCCAGATGATGTAAATACAGGGTGGTCCAGGATTAATCTGAAAAATTTTAATGATCGATAGAGCCTGAAAAAATAATAAAAACAAACCCAAAAACATTTTTTAAAAATACACACTAACACACTAATAGCCCTTCAAAGGCAAAAAAAAACGTTTTTTTTTTAAATAACTTCTGCTCAAATTTTGTGTACCTAGTTAAAATTTCCTACAAAAGGCCCAGCGGCGGATATTTTGTGGGGGTTTCCCCTTTTTACCCCCATATTTCGTCACCACTGGATTTTATTGGAAAATCATCAGATTTCTTATTCAATTTAGAAGCAAAACTTGTGTGTTAAATTTTCATAAGATAATTGTTTTCGGAGACTTTAAAATTTCAAAAACACCGAGTACACGGAATTTTATCATATATTATTTTAAATCGGTAACTTGGTAACAATTATGCCACGTTATCAGTTTATAAAATAGTATAAAAATAAACTAGCGTCCAGGAGTCATCGTGCAGTTGTTACTGATCCCGTCATATTTTTAGGTTGTTTTATTATAACGTTGATTGAGGATTACAATCAACGTCTGTAATTAATAATTTAATTGTATTATAATACAAAATCAAACCAACCCAAAAACCACCCTATTGAAAGTGATTATTCCATAATTTCTTTGGTAAATTTTTATTGGCCCAATACAATCGTTCAGAAAAAAAATATTAACAAAAGTTCCGTGTACACAGTGTTTTTGAAAATTTAAACTGAAATATCTCCGTTGATCTGATAAAAAATAAACATAAAAGTTTTGCTTTTAGATTGAAAAAGGATAAAAATAAATCTGATGATTTTCTAATAAAATCCAGTGGCGTCGAAAATATGAGGGTAAAAGGGGGAAACCTCTCCCAAAATCTCCGCCACTGGGCCTTTTGTAGAAAATTTTCATTATATTATCGACGGAAGCTTAACCTACACAAAATTTGAGAAGAATCGGTTTAATGGATTAAAATTTATTTTGAAGGACTATATCTCCGTTAGTATGCATTTTTGAAAAATGTTTTTGGGTTTGTTTTTATTGTTTTTTCAGGTTCTATCGATCATTAAAATTTTTCAGATTAATCCTAGACCACCCTGTATAATAAATAAAATGTATTTTTTCTTTGGGCCCGTGCAATTGTTGGGAAATGGTCCATTTCAATTAAAACGATCTGATGTGCTTCAAATAAATATAAAACAATAAAAAAACTATAAATTAATTTTTTTGACAATTTTTCATGTTTTTGAATAATTTTTTTTTTCCATGGTTTTCTTTTCGCCTTTGCATTTACTTTACTTTTTTACCTCCTATTTTTATCGAAATCCATCCTAGCTTTATAGCAAGGGGAAGGGGGGGGGTCAAAAATTTCGAAAAACTACGTCATGTAATACATGGGTATAAAAACTATGGTAATTACAATAATTGGATATGTGGAAATTTTATTAAATCTTGAAACTTTAGGCTATTCTAAGAATTTTTTACAAGGGAAATTTTTAAAAATAAATAAAAATTAAGGGGAAATACGGGAAATACTTGGGTAGTACTAGAATTTTGCAGGTAATGGCCAGGTAATACTGGTATTACATGGGTAATGCAAGGTAATCCTGGGTAATTTTATTGTATTACTCAGGAAATACTGGGTACTACAATGAAAATGGGAAATGGTGTACAGCTTTTTACTTAGCGGTTTACCCCTCGGAAAAACCATACCATTTTTCAGATTTGCCATGTTAATTTTTTTTATTATGCCGCTTTTCCCAAAATACTTTTCTTTCAATTGTTTTCAATGAAAAACTTTTTTATTTCTATAATAAAATCAATTTAAGTTTATATATTTAACCATTGTTCTATGATATTTTACACTTAATATAATTTATTTTCTAACCTAAGTAGTAAAAACAAAGTTTTTATAAGAAAATATATAAACGATTGGGAAAAAATTAGTAAAATAAATTTAGAAAAAAAAATTAATTTTTAAAAAATTTATGGGTACCTATTCAAAAAATATTTTTTAAAAATTTTTTTACTTTCTTTTGGATGGGTAAAAAAAATTGAAAAAGATGTTCTATAGTCTCCTAGCAATTTTTGCTCTCATTTGATTACACTATTTATTACCTGGAATTTTTTTATTTTTAAATTAGATAAAATATATTTATCTCATTTAAAACCTAGAAAAATAATACGTTTGTTACCTACAAACGTATTATTTTTCCAAGTTTTAAATGAAAATCACTGAACATTTAATTAAGTTAAGTAGCTGAATATTAAATTACACTATATTTTAACCGCATGATATTTGGTAATTTAATATTAATAAAAATATAGGAAGAATTACATTTTTAGTTTTATAGTAAACTTTTATTAAGATAAAATAATAAGGTCTTATAGGTAGCTCAGGGAGGCTTGGTTAGTGTCTGAGCACAATTTCGCGCGCAATAATAAAACAAAAAATTGACTTACCCTAGCAGAAGAACTCTTAAATCCTAGGAAGCTCAGCTTCCTCAAGTTCATTTTCTGCCTGTTATTCATTGTTGCCAACCAAATAAAACAGCACTAAACACGAAAAAACTAACAGGTAACGAGAATAAATCTCTGCAGAGTTAACACGGACCCGAACTCGAAGCGAAAAGTCAGGGTTAGGAAAACTTGGTCCGATGACTACGGCGAGACGAAAACGTGCGATTTGAGGGATTTTTTTCTTGGCGACCTTCCGAGACGCGTGATGGCGAAGAGGTGCTGAAAGAACATGGGGTACCCCAGGTCCGACGTCGCGACCACTGCCCGAACAAGCCGGTAGCTCAGGAGGGTTGGTGCCTTAGACCCCGTCTTGCGAATTTGGAGGAACTACTGGAAATTACGACCTGAAACAGAGTTTTGGTTCAAATCAAATCAAATCAAATATACTTTATTGTAGGTACTTAAATTACATGCAATAGGAGGACGGTTAGGTTTCCCTATCTTCCACCGTCTCCTTATTTTAATTGTGTACAAATAGACCAGGGTCGATAATTTTTGAAACAAAAAAAAATAACAGTAGAATGAAACCCATTGGAAAAGGAGAAGAATATAATAAAAATGAAAGGAAAAATAAATTACGGGCGATCTGAGTCCAGGAAGTGGGAGGGGGGGGGGGTTTAAGGGTAAACAATGGTTTATCTCGAGTTCCGGCAAAACTACAAGTCCTATGGAAAAGTTAAATGGCAAAGTTGTAGGTAATAAAAGGATCTACAACTTTTGTAATTACAATTTTTTTACATAACCTCAAAATTTATGTGAAAAATTCAAAAAACCCAGTTTTTGGTTTTTTATTTTTATCTTTTTCAAAAAAAAATTTTTTTCCACGAAATTTGGTGAAAACTTACCTTTTTATGTCCCAAATACACTGTAATTTATTTGATTTGAAATATTTATTATTTCGCCTTATTTTGACTTAATATCAAAAAAGCACCCTAATTTTCAATCGAAAATTCTCGCGTCAAAATATCAGCTTTTTTCAAAAAGTCGGTGTGCTTTTTGTTCGTTGAAATCTCTACTTTCTGATGGTGTAAAAATATCCATTACTATGGTAAATGTTCTCAGAAAATGCAAAAAATATTATAATGAATAACGAAAAAAACTCGAATTCGAAAATTTATTTTAATCATTATGTACAATTTCATCAAAAAAATGTGATTGTTGCAATTTTTTTTAGTTAAAAAGTTTATTTATTAAATTCTAATAACATTTATGTCAGAAAATCTCATAAAATATAAAAATACATGTAAATCATACTATTGAATTTAGATACTTCATTCTGATTACGTTATTCATTATAATATTTTTTGTATTTTCTGAGAACATTTACCATAGTAATGTATATATTTTTTTACACCATCAGAAAGTAGAGAGTTCATCAAACAAAAAGCACACCGACTTTTTGAAAAAAGCCGATATTTTGACGCGAGAATTTTCGATTGAAAATTAGGGTGCTTTTTTGATATTATTAAGTCAAAATAAGGCGAAATAATAAATATTTCAAATCAAATAAATTACAGTGTATTTGGGACATAACAAGGTAAGTTTTCACCAAATTTCGTGGAAAAAAATTTATTTTTGAAAAAGATAAAAATAAAAAACCAAAAACTTGGTTTTTTGAATTTTTCACATAAATTTTGAGGTTATGTGAAAAAATTGTAAATACAAAAGTTGTAGATCTTTTTATTACCTACAACTTTGACATTTAACTTTTTTCCATAGGACTTGTAGTTTTGCCGGAAATCGAGATAAACCATTTTTTACCCTTAAACCCCCCCTTCCACTTCCCGAACTCAGATCGCCCGTAATTTATTTTTCCTTTAAGTTTTATTATATTCCCCTCCTTTTCCAATGGGTTTCATCCTACTGTGATTTTGTTTCTCTTTTTACCATTTTTAAAGGCTTCTGCACTGGTCTATATACCATAAACCTAAATACAAGCGTTTCTGAAATATTTAAATTATTATTTAGATAATAAGTTAAAATATTTTGTCTTTCTCTGTCTAAATACGGCATTTTTACTTACTTACTTACTATTTTAATAAAATAAATAATAAAAATTTAAAATCGAATACAAATCTGTAATATTTGAATTTTTTAAATAAAATTTTAAATTTGTCGATAAATTATAGTAGATAATTATCTAAAGTGGTGCAATTTATTATAATAAATTGCACCACTTTAATTTGAATAATCTTAAATAGGGGGGCCTGGAGGCGGGTGAGGCACCAGGAAAAACTAACTTTTTTTCGCAAACTTCAATTTAAATTCTGTTTGCGCAAAACTTATTTATTTAATGTCATTATAAACTATTATAAATTTGGTTTGGGTCCCATGTCTTATAACTGAGATATTGGTATACCCAAAATCCACCAGCCGCCACTGAAATAATGGCATTAATGCACAAAACATAGGCGGTAATTTACTGTTTTAAGTTCAGCCACAACACGATATTTGACAAAAGTTCGTGTTCCGCTACAATCGGAACCGCTTCCACCAATCAGGCATCGCATTCCTAAAGAACGAAAGTACCTTTTTTACATGTTTATAGTTTTGAGCGCCTCTTATTTTTGAGAGTCATCACGTGTTAATAATTACTATCTTACTTAAAAAGTCAGTTTCATTAATAATATTAAATTTAAGTAATTAAACAGTCAGGTTGGCCTATTTATATTAAATTTTTAGGAGTTTTAGGAGATTGCCGGCCATTTTAGGAGAATTTTAGGAGTTTTCAAGACTTAAGCAAAATTTTATGAATTTTATGAGTTTTAGGAGGTGTGGGAGCCCTGATGTAAGTAATATAAATAAAATACAGAGTGTATCATAATATTAAGAATACATTAAAATTGCAAAGAAAGCTTACACACAGAAAAAACGCTAGCATAGCGTGAATCGGTGAGCTATTAAACTAATGGGATCTTGTAATCCGTATATTCCTAAATAACAGTTCCTATAATACCAATAGGTAGTTAGCACTTAGTTTATAATCGTTTACTGTTTTTAAATTAACAACAAAAGTTATCCCTCCTAAATCTATTGATATTCATATTGATATTTATTTGTTAGAATGGTAGAATGTTATTGCTACTAATACTAATTTGATTTATTTAATAACGTTACTATTGTATGTATACTATGTATACATTTAACGCAATAAACTCTTTGACATTTAGGCAAAATATTTCCCTATTTTAGTGTAATAGTAATTAATTGAGCAAATAACAATTTAGATTGCTTCAAGTTTAATGCATTCAATGACAGCGCTGTTCTTGATACTATGTTAGATTTTTTTCTGTGCGTATAAGCAAATTGTACAAATATAAAGGCTTTTGATTTTTAAGTAAATTGTAAAGAAATATTGTTGCCAAGTAGTTTGTTCTGTTATGTGATCTCTGAAAGGAACATTTCTGACAAAGCGAATGCACGCATTTTGTATTCGCTGGAGTTTTAGCTGATTATATTGTGGTAAAGAGAAATAGTAAAAAAAAGGAACAATAATCAATGTGAGGCATGACCAACGCCTTAATGAAATTTAGTTTGTTGATATTTTGTCGAAATTTAAATTCATTAGTCAAACAGATTTCCTAGTTTTTCCTAAGTGGTGCAGATGGGTCGTTTTCAAAAAACACTCGCCTTCCGCTGTACGTAAGTTTGAATTCCAATAACTTTGTTAAAAATTATTGGATCTTATTGATTTAAAAACCAAGTGAAAGCCTAACAAGCCCTTAGTAAACTATTTCAGAAAATTTTTGTTTAGTTATTTCAGAATAATTTTTTTTAATTTTGAAACTTGTGAAACACACATTTTCGCATGTCCCATTAGCGTTTTATAAAACTTACATGTATACATGTTTTTTTTTTTAATATTGAATAACCAGAACTTTGTGTTGCTTTATAGCAATCCATAACATCCTTAGTTAATACAGTAAACAATTTATATATAAAATAATTAATTTTAATCTACTTTTTTTAAATTTGACTCATGTCCCAGACATTTTTTCCGTTGCGTTACGATAGAATATTAAAAAAACATATATATGGCAACTTTTTTGGTACTCACGTGATCAACAAATGATGTTCGGACGTACACATTACCCAACTGAATTTATTTATTTAATCAGGAAGAATATATCGGTTGAAACAGGTGCGGGTAACGCGAATGTAATAATTGTTTGTCCGCTAAGTTACTCAAAAAAAAATAATAAAAATATGGTAAGAAAAAATACTATTTTTCATGTTTATGTTTAAAGCTCATTGAGAGTTATTAATGACTGTAATGTCTTATTATTATTTTTTAAATATGGTTTCACAAAACTTTTTCCACTGCGTTACCGAGTCCATTATGTTACCTTATGGTAACGCAATGGAATTTAGGGTAACGCAATAGAATTTTTCAACAACAAAGTGGATATTTACCTTCGCTTTTATTAAAAGTTGTTTATGATAAACCAATTTAAAATTATTTGTGATTACAACTCATGATATAGATTACATCCAAGGGAAAATTCCACGAAATATACAAGTACTAAAAGGGACGAAAGACCTTCAACAGCTTATAGTCAAAGAAAAAGGGTGTCTACATTTAGAAATCTAAGTTGTTATTGTGCAAGTGAGCACCACTACAAGGGATTTTGTTTATGCATTACTCTAAAATCGTACCACCCTATATAGTTTCTTTTTTACGTTATATGATTAAGTCCTTTGTGTACCCCAGTCCGTTGTGATACCAATGTCTATTTCGTTACTTTTTTTAGTTTTTGTTAAAAAATACTTTAACAAAGAATCGAAATGGTTTCTTTTAAAAAGTAACTTAACGAACATAAATATTAAAAAAAATTTAATAAAAAATAAAATAAAAAATTGGAGTCAAAACTTTGTGAACTAGGTACATTTTATTTCAAATTATTTTTATAACAACTTTTTTTATTGAATTAAATTCTGCATTTCAAATTGGAAACACAGTGGAGATATATTAAGCTAGCTAAACACATTTTTCTGAAAAAAACGTAAAAAAAATTAAAAAGTGCACTGCCTGTCTTAAATGTAAGTAAACAAAACTCTAAACATTTTCAAAAATCCAACCAAAAGTCAATTTAAGCAAAAAAAAAAATTTGATCTTCATTTTACTGAAAGCGGGTGTTTCTTGAAAATGACACATAGGTAATGACACCAGTAATTGCCATTATAAGCTAGTAAAATAGCTAAAAAAGTACCAGAAGAAATTTAGATTTCGTCTTAATAAAAAGCCATGTGGTTAATAGATACTAATAGAAGGTCACTATATTACCAAACATTAAAATAACTAATAACATAACTAAGTACAATATATATTTTTTTCTACTCCCAC